ACTCTTCAGTTTATTCCTGGAGATGCATAAAGACCCTACTCAGATGAGCTTCTGGAGTTTAAGGCGCCTTCCACAGAGAACTTAGCTCTTTATGACGTCCTGCCACATTCCTGTCCCTCCTATCTGTGAAGCTGGGCTTCGAGTGGCACCTTGGATTTTAAATTCTAATTAATTGGTATAAACGCAAAGAAGTATCTTAAATTATAACTTGAAGACCTTGCTGAAAATTATCCCAGGACCAGTAAAATATGCCTTTGTTTTCAATGGAAGAGAAAATAGTGGAGGAGAAATACTGAACAGGAACAGAGTCCTGTCCATGGTCACTCTTGAGGAGCAGTGGGGTGTGGACAAAAAGGGGCCACATGCTAACCTGACAAGCTCAGGGGAGGCCTGCATGGCTGCCTTGCAAACTCAGAGATGGAAAATAACCACAAAGGATGATCTGAAATTAAAACTTTCTAACTAAAAGCATTTTATGGTGGGTAGTCATGTCCTACGCTAGAATCTTCCCTGACAAAAGTCCACTTTCACCTTAATTGAGCCTGCCTGTTGTCCTTTTGCATCTGTGATCACATATCTTTGGAATGTCAGGGTAACTTCCCTTTTTGTTTTTTTCCCCCCTGGACCCTTCAGGGCACAACCAGTGCACCTAGGTGAAGACGGCAAATCCTCTCCTTGTTCTTGTTATTGAATTAATTGCTGACTTAAGTATCCTGCACCCATCTCTGTAAAGATGTATCATTTTACTTTTTATCTAATCTCAGAGGCTTCCCTAATCTATCACCAATGGATTTCATGTAACCCACTTAACATTTTCTTTTTTAAAAAAATATGTTTTTATTGATTACAGAAAGAGGAAGGGAGATAGAAACATCAACGAGAGTCATGGATTGGGTGTCTCCTGCATGCCCCTTACTGGGAGTTGAGCCAGAACCCTAACCCAGGCATGTGCCCTGACTGGGAAATGAACCATAACCTCTAGGTTCATAGATTGATGCTCAACCACTGAGCCACGCTGGCCGGGCTAGTCTAGTATTTCTAAATCTTCTGACTGGACTTTATGTTTTCTAGAGAACTTGGATCTAAAGGACCACTGGATTCCTTAAAACTATTTTTAAAAGCATAAGGCTAGAGTTTCACTTCCAGCATGACAATGTGAGGAGCTGTCTGTAGACTCGCTTCCCTGAAAAATGACTGATAATGTTACGGGAAAGGGGACCTGGCCCTGAACCGGTTGCCTAGGGCCAGCCGGTAGTGTGTGGGTTCTTGACTTCGTACAGGAAAAGTTTCACAAGAGTCTAGGTGAGTTTTAGAGTACATTTATTAAAGCTGGGGACAGTGAAACAAGAAAGGGCTGGGGAAACGAGCCTAGGCTGGGCTGCTTTGGCTCACTAAGTCAGAGAAAAGGGGGCCTTGGGGACAGGGCCCGGGGGTTTGTCTGGGACAAACTGCTGCTGCCCTTTGCTCCCTGGTTGCAAGCCTCATGGAGTCCCTTAGAGTTTAGGAGACCGTTCCTGTGGGGAGGAGGGGGTGGGGGAGGCACGAGCATGCTCCTGAGAAGGAGAGCAAGCTCTGGGACCTTCGGTTTGAGGGGTTTTAAAGGCTGAGCGTTTAGGGCAGGTCTTAGGAGAGGATCCATAGAATATTCATCAGCTTTACGCTGATTTACCAAAATGAGGTTTCTTCTCTTAACTTCATCTGTCCTTAGGTGTGGTTGGCAAATGGCACTAATTGGATTTCTGCTGCCTGTCTCGGAGTTGGGTGGTTTAAGCTATTTGCCCTCTGGTCGGGGAGGAGAAGTGCAAACCATTTACTCTGAAGTGTCCCCGGTTTAGGGAAGACAGGATTCACTAGGTGGCTACAAACCGCTGTTGAACCATCTGTCTCAGTTTCCTTGTTTCTCCTGTCCTGGCTTACTGGCCTGTCTCAATAGCTATAAAGGGACAACCATATCAAGCCTCCGGAAATGGTCAGAGGTGCACACAGCAAATGGAGAAATATTTATTTGAAAAAATTTATTAAAGGTCCTTCCAGCTCACAATGGAACCCCCTACTCCAGACTGATGCGGCCAACACAGGGCTCCTCTCTCCACAGCTTCCAACTGGAGGGCTCTCTGCCCAAGAGGGACGGGATGTCAGTGGTTCTCATCCTGGCCCCAGCTACCTGTTTCTGAGGCTAACTTCCAAGCAAGTGTGGCCAAGAGGTGAGGGCTCCCCTTTCTGGTCAGCCCCGACTTGCGGGATGAAAGCTCTGCCTTGGGCCCAGAGCCCCCGAGAATACTGGGGCCTCCATCGCCCTTGCCCCAGATCTTGAGGTGGTGGCTCCAAGCTGGGAGAGACAAGCTGAGCAAACTGGAGGCTACTGTCAGTGACCAGCTTCTAGGGTGGGGGTGTCACTTGGAAAGCAGTATGCCACTGTCCTTCACTAATAAAACACTAATGTTGAAATAAACTTCTAGGCCCGAGATAGAGACACTCCTGCCCGGGTGCCCCATCAGCAAACCAGAACTTAGATAACTCCCATGTCCCTGTAAATGCTTCCCTTGATCAGAAATGCAGAATGTCCAGTTAATCCTCAAATGCAAGCCAACTCTGGGCTCAGGACTTTCTTGTTTCGTATCTTTTATCCTATGAAAGCTTCTTGCCTTCTGCCCCATTTTGCAGTTCTCCAAATAGGGCTGTCCACTTAATGAGGTGTTGAGTAAAGTTTACTTGTTTCCTAGTCTTCTTTAATCATTTTTAACATTCTGTATATATAGTTTTTACTTTGTTTACCCTTTATTTACTGAGCTTTACATTGATGTTAGATGGGCGTCCATATCTTTTTTTATAATAGTTTCTTCAGTGTTGTGTTCAGCTATGAACACTTGACTGGGTGAAGCATAGCTCAGACCCACTAGGGTGTTTGTTTGTTTTTTAATTGTGGTAAAATATGCATGACATAAAATTTACCATTTTCACCCTGTTTGTCCAGCCATCTATCTCTGGAACATGTCAGACTGTAACTCTGTACCCATGAGACCATAACTACCCGTTTCCTCCCCCCGCAGCCCTTGGTGACTATTGGCCTACACTCTGTCCTAGGAATCTGACGACACCAGGTATCTCACGTAAGCAGAGTCACGATATTTGCCCTTTTGTGTCTGGCTCACTCCCTCAGCTTAATGTCTTCCAGGTTCCTCCGTGTTGTAACATGTATCAGAACTTCTCCACATTTTGTGTCGACTGTTCCATCGCATGCCTATACTGCATTTGTTTTTTTATTCATCAGTGGATGGACATTTGAATTGTTTCCACCTTTTGGCTATTTGTGAATATGCTGATGTGAACATTGGTGTACAAATATCTGGTTTTTGATGTGTGTTTTTATCCTTACGCAAGGATTTTTTTCCATTTTTCCATCGCTTTTCCAGAGAGAGTAGGAGGGAGAGAGAGAGAAAGAAACATCGATGTGAGAGAGACACATCGATTGGTTGCCTCCCACATGTGCCCTGAGCGGGGCTGGGGATCGATCCTGCAACTGAGGTACATGCCCTTGGCTGGAATCGAGCCCAGGACCCTTCAGTCCGAGGGCTGACGCTCTAACCACTGAGCCAAAACAGCTAGGGCATTTTTTTTTTTTCCTTTTAATTCTTTTGGGCATATACCTAGAAGAGGAATTGCTGGGTCATAAGGTAATGTTTACCTTATGTTTATTGTTTGAGAAACCACTATACAGTCTTCCACAGTGCTACACTGTGTTGCACGTGGTCATTTTTGTGTTGTTAAATTATGTGAATCAGTTTGCTATAGGAAATTGATACCTGGGCACACTGAACCAATACAGAAAGCACATCTCTACTAAAATTGTGTGATGTATCATAGAGTTGTCTGTCAGACACTTCTAATTACCATGTCGACTAGTTACCAGTGTCCATAGCCTTGGTGGGTGGGGGTTGTTGGTGGGGTGGGGCAAAAAGCAGCATTTTGGGGTTGTCAAAAAAGTAGCTAAAATAATTCCACATCCTGCAGCTCTGTTTCAGTCTGGCTCACTTGGCATTGAGTATTGGAGGGGATGAATAATAAAGGTGGGGTGAGGAGGAGAGAAAGGTAGAGGAGTGTGGCGAAGCTGCACAGTAGGATTGGATCAGTCTGCTCCGTTGCCAGGTCTGCCTACGGCCAGCCAGTAGTGTGGGGGTTCTTGTCTTTGTGTGACAAGTCCAGGTGACTATAAAGGGGCATGTATTAAAGCCGGGGACAGTAAAATAAGGACGGACTTAGGGTAAAAGCAGCAACAGGGGAGCCTAGGCGGGGCTGCTCTGGCTCACTGGGAAGTCAGGAAAAGGGGGCCTTGGAGACAGGTTCAGGGGGTTAGCCCGGGACGAGCCGCCACTGCCCCTCCCTCCCCCTGGTTGCAAGTCTCCTGGGGACCCTTGGAGTTTAGGAGATGAGTGCCTGTGGGGCAAGGGCAGGACGATGGTGCGGGTTTGCTTCACAGTGAGTCCTTTGTCTTGAGGCTTTTATCTCCTTCTTCTGGCAGGAATCTTAGGGGGGGTTTTAGGGGAGGGTTCCAGCAGAATATTCATCAGTTTTCCAGGTGCGCTGCTTTAGGGTCAGTGCCAGGCCATGGGTCATTGCAGCTGGTCCTGGGGTCACCCACCTGGTTTTGCTGCTTTTCTGGGCCTGGAGCTGAAATACAGCTATGGCCTAGATGTTATCTCTAGGGAGGTGACCTTCTGTATCTGGCTGTAAATTGCTCAGCAAGTTTGTTCAGCTATCTGCCTGGTTCCCTGTTCCGCTTGTCCTGGCTTACTGGTCTGTCTCATTTCTTAGCTATTTGGTATGGAATGAATTTCAATGAGACAGTTTTTCCTGCTCCCCTACTTCATCTCACATGTTCGGAGCCTATTTCCGTTCTGAAGCTTTTATAATGCATAAACTATGCAGCTGACTTATGGCCTTTAAACCGAACCTATAGGTGACATGTAAATGTATGACACACTTAAACATTTATGAGAGAGAGAGGGTGAAACACTTCATCGCTTTATTCTTCTTTCATCAAACCAGCCGCCTCCTGAAGCCGTGGGAAATCACCGTGCTTTGGTATCTGGAGAGAGGTGAATGCAGAGGCATATCTGCAATTTTTATCTCTGGAGGGCCTTTCTTCAAGACAGCTTTCCGATCTTCCCCATGGCAAAGCCTTTCACTGTGTTCCAGAAACAGAGAGTCTTCTAGAGGCCCAGCGTGGATCCCGCACATTTCTGCATGCTAAGAGGGGAAAAACCTGCTGTACATGACCCCGAACGGGACTTTATTGGATTAAGATGGAAGTTGCCCAACTTTCCCTGCCGAGAAGGAAGGTCTAGTGGACAGGGCAACATCCCTTTTCCAAAGGCAGTGCTCTCTGGCCCGTGTCTTCCAACCACCAGGAAAGCAGAGTGCACTGCGGACTATAAAATACAGAAACCTGGAGTCAGCTTGTTGAACTTCAACTTCACCCCTTATGTGACCGTGTACCAGTCACTTACCCTGTGAGACTCCTTTTTCTCAAATAAAATAGAAACTATTAAAGGATTCTTTGAGTTTTCAATAAAATATTACATATGAGGGGGAAAACTTTTGCCAACTACTAAGTGTATTATAAATAGATATAAAGCATGTTGCTTCTACAGTCACTGCAGCTGGAAAAATAACAGCTACTTGAGGTTATTGTCCTAAGTACATATTTCTGATTCTTTTTTTTTAAGATTTTTTATTGATTTTTTTAGAGAGAAAGGGAGAGGGAGAGGGAGAGAGAGAAACATCGATGAAAGAGCAACATTGAGCCCCCAACCTTTCGGTACACCAGACAATGTCCAGCCAACTGAGCCACACCAGCCAGGGCTATTTCTGATTCTTCAATACTGATGAATAGCATTTTGGCCTGGTCTTGGGATACAGCCCCATCTCTGCTATGCTGTGTTTTTATATTGTTAAGTACTTATGTCATCTCCCACAGGAAAAAAAGGGTGAAAGTAAACAGAAGGAAGGAAAGCACAGCTAGCACTCGCTCAGTGTAGAGTCACTTCATTTAATTCTCATTTAAATTTTTTTTAACATGTCTGATTTCAGAGGGAGGAAGGGAAAGGGAGAGAGAGACAGAAACATCAACGATGAGAGAGAGTCATTGATTAACTGCCTCCTGCACGCCCCCTACTGGGGATTGAGCCCGCAACCCAGGCATGTGCCCTGACTGGGAATCGAACCACGATCTCCTGGATCATAGGCCGATGCTCAACCGCTGAGCCACACTGGCTGGGCTCTCATTTAATTTTAACTTTTATTCTGTAAGGTCGAATGTTCTGTATACCAGTCACTAATTACATTTAAAAAATTGTTAGAAACATTGTCAACTAAGTTGTAAAAGTGAAATAGTTATAAAAAATTATGCCAAATTATGAAGAGTAAGTTCAAGAATAAGAAATGTTTTGATGCGTTCAAAACAGTTTTTTTTAAAAATATATCTTTATTGATTTCAGAGAGAGGAAAGGAGAGGGAGAGAGAGAGAAACATCAATGATGAGAGAGTCATTGATTGACTGCCTCCAGCATACCCGCTACTGGGGATGGAGCCTGCAACTTGGGCATGTGCCCTGACCAGAATTGAACTGTGATCTCCTGGTTCATAGGTCGACATGCAACCACTGAGCCACACCTGCTGAGTTGTAGAAAGTCTTAATAACCACACAACTTTGATGTCTGTTATTTGAGTCTTGATTTCCTTAGTTTTATCTGTTATTAAAATATCACATAAAATACATATAAAACAATCATCTCAAGGCAAATGGTAGCTTTATTTGTTACATTGTATGTGTGCATTTTATAAGAAAATAATTGAGCCATATTTTTAGGATATTTTTTATATCATGTAATGGTCACATATATATATATATATGTATTTTGTAATGTCATCTCTGGGCAAAGTATATTCTTAATCAACATTAATTATTTATCTATTAGAAATTTGCAAATTAGTGATATACTTTTTCCAGGAATCCTGACTTGGAATCTCCTCTTGTAGTCTGATTATTATAATATATTCTATTCTCCTTTAAAGAAACAACTTACCTTTTCACAAGTGAATGGTCCATCTGAATTTGGAAAATGTTGTGAAACTACTCACTGAATAGGAGAATGGAATGGGCAACAAGTCTTATCTGTAAATCTAGCCAAACTGTTCCCATAGCTCTCAACCTAAATATGCAGTACAACTTTAAAAATACATGCTCTGTACTGAAGCTTTAATGGGCCCTACTTCTGATAGCTTCTTAACAACTGCAAGTGACACTGTGTGGAGAAAAGGGTAGACAAAGAGTTCTGAAATATCTCGGTGTATCTACTTTTAGGATTTCAATTGGGTTATTTACCTAGATACTGATATTTAACTTTTGCTTGCAAGTTTATGTGTAAGTGCATCAAGTATTTTTGTCTGAGAATAGAATGAATGGTATTTGCCAGGACCTGGGAGGAGCTTAGAAATGAGGAGATATAGGCCAAAGGGTACAAACTTTCAGTTATAAGAAGAGTAAGTTCTGAGGATCTAATGTTCAGCGTGGTGACTACAATTAGTAACACAGCATTGTGTACTTGAAAGCTGCTAAAAGTAGATCTTTCTCATTCTCACCAAATGAAAACAAGAGTTAGCTCTGTGTGGTGATGGGTGTTAATTACATGATCTTGGTAATCATTCCACAATGTGTATCAAATCCCCACATTGTGCACTTTATTTTATTTTTTAAATATACCTTTATTGATCTCAAAGAGAGGAAAGGAGAGGGAGAGAGAGAGATGGAAACATCAATGATGAGAGAGTCATTGATCGAGCCCGCAACCTGGGCACGTGCCCTGACCGGAAATCGAACCCTGATCCCCTGGATCCTAGGTCGATGCTCAACCGCTGAGCCACTCCCGACTGGGTGTACACTTTAAATATATACAACTATATCTTCCCATTAGTCCTCAATAGAGCTGGAAAAAATGCAAAATTAATTTTAAAATGGCTTTTATATAATTATTATGTCTATTCATTATATTAACTAGCATATATTTTTTATTATGAATATTTGTAGGAAATACCTTCAGATTTATATTCCTGAATGTCATGCTTTCCTTCCAAGGCATAACATATCGTCTTGGGATCATCCCTTGTTTTAATGAAAACCGTGGCAAATGAACCTCACTACACCTGAAGATTGGGAAGGCAAGGAAAAAAGATATCGTGTGAGTTAAATATAATCATTTTAGCATTACTCCAGGGAATGGAGGAAGCTGTGCCCTGTCCATGATGTTCGGACCTTGGCAGCTGCAGAACAGAGAGCTGTGCCATTGTTTGAGGCCCACCTGATAGATAACGAACCCATTAAATCCCTACGTATCACCAAGTTCAAGAGTCAGGGCTGTGTCTCTGTACTTCCAACTGCCTGCCATCCTTCAGAATGTGCTCACCACGTCCATTTTAACCTGATTTTCAGGGAGAAGACAGAATACCGTGATTTGCCTCAGGCCTACCCACTGCCTAAAGGAATCTCTGGCCGGTCCCAAAAAACAGTAACTGATTTAGCTTCTGAATTTAGTACATGCTCTACACTCAGGTCAGACTTTCCTTCCCTGCGCGCACATTGCTTCTCTCTGGATCATAAAGCTTTCTACATAGATGCCAGGGGGAAGCACAAAGTATAGGCCTCATCTGTGTAGTTCACAGATGGAAAAAACAAACAAACAAACAAAAATAACCAAACTCCCAAACCCTTAAGTACTCACTTATTAGCAGGCTTATATGAATGCTCATCAGAACAGTTGTTGGCCAGCTTAGGTAAGGTAGGACAAGTGTCCTTTCCTGAAGCCATCACTGCTGGTGGTGACGGGAATTCTCACCTAGGGCCTGACAAACCCATGAGTCTAATTATGATGCCATTGCCACCTCCGATGTAACAATGTTCTGCCAACTTCATAGCAACCCATCAGCAGTTGATTAGAAGTGCAGATCTGGAAGCTATTTCCAGGGGTGTTTTGTTTTGTTTTGTTTTTTTACCCCTTCTTTTTTTTTCCTTGGTGAACAAAATTTTATTCTAAAAATAGATCTCAGTAACAACGAAATGGCAAAAACTGGCCATTGCAATAAAAAGGAAAAAAAGAGGAATTTACTTTCCACTTTTTTCCTGAAAAACACAAAATGATCACTGTAATGCACTGCGACTCTCGTTTATATATATTTCAGTTACCCTTTCTGTGGATTACCCAAGGGAATTTTAAAATCAGTTATTGGATTCCGCCTAACGTTTAACCCTCACCTGAGGATAGGCTTTTGAAAATTGATTTTAGAGAGAGAGGAAGGGAGAAGCATAGAAAGAGAGAAACATCAATCAGTTGCCCTCCATACCCGCTCCTCCCTGGAATCGAGCCTGTGACCCTTTGGTGCACAGGATGGTGCCCCAATCGACTGCCCCATGCCGGGAGGGCTGCGCAATATTTAGATGTTCATCTGGATTGCTTTTATCTCCAAGTAAATACATTCTCAAGGAACGCAAGCAAAATCGAACATATGCTTAAGTAAACATAATTAGGAAGATAAGTTTATGCTTAGGAAATGAGCTCCAAAGCAAAATACTGGTTTGAATCACTGTTCCCCTCAATTTTTGTGCATAACCCCAATTGTCTGATTGTGTTGAAGTACAGTCAATAAAGCTGGAAAGTAACAAATTATACAACTTACACATAGAGAAAAGACAACTAAATTATTTCAAACCCAAAGCACAGGACACTTTAAAGGCATATAATGACATTTACTACTTAAAAAGTGGTATTTATCTTCAAAGTGCTAAAGAAACAAGCACTCAAGAAAATTTCAGGCCTGTTTACAAAGTTCTGACTGATTTGAAGTACTAAAATATCAAGAATGCAGGGGACAAAACAACTTAAATGTAGAAGGCCCCTATTACTATAAAATGTATTCTAAGTATATTTTGCAGAGATATGAAAGCAGTCATTGAAAGACCAGTTAGGGCTAAGATAGTAACATATAACTTACATATCTGCCCATATAAATATATATATATACACATATATACATATTTAATATGTTTTTATTGATTTCAGAGAGAGGAAGGGAGAGGGGGAGAGAGAAACATCAATGATGAAAGAGTCATTGATCGGCTGCCTCCTGCACGCCCCCTAATGGGGATGGAGTCCGGAGCCCAGGCATGTGCCCTGACTGGGGATCAAACCTGATTATGGGTCGATGCTCAACCACTGAGCCACACCGGCTGCACTGCCCACATCTTTTTTCAAACTAATGTAAACACATGTGTTTATATTATATTTCCTCCACACAGTGTGTCACATACATCCTGTTCTGTCCATATTTTGGATCATTTATCATCCATATTCATCACAGCGATTGGCCATGATGCACAGTGAGTAGAAGTGATCTTTTGATATAAAAATTCTTGATAGATGATAGTCTTGTGAACCAAAAGCTGATCACAATTACATTTAATTTAATTCCTATAAAATGCAGGTGCATGCTCATTAGTACGTTAGCTCATTTTTAGACTATTAGAAATCAGTGTGATTTACTTTGACTAATCTAAGATAAATGCTATCTTAGTATTTAGCCTGATTAAATACTACTTTTGTCAAAGCTTGACCCTGAGTTTTGAGTGCTAGAATATAAACTGAAAAACTGAAAACACTAGCCCTACCTGGTTTGGCTCAGTAGTTAGACTTAGAGCATGGGCCATCGGACTGAAGGGTTGCCTGTTTGAGCGTTGTTAAGAGCAGGCTGGATCCCCGGCTGGTCAGTGCACATGCAGGAGGCAACCAACTGACGTGTGTCTCTCACATCGACGTTTCTTTCTGTCACTCCCCCTCCCTTCCACTCTCTCTAAAAAAACAATTAAAAAAATCAGCTCAGGGTTAAAAAAAACAAAAAAACACCTGAAAACACTCCAAAATGTTGGCTAATATTGGTGTCCCAGCATCCCTACAACTGTGCTTTTTCTCTCTAATAACACAGTAGGTATGAAACTGCCGTGTCTTCAGCAAGGGAGGAAGGGGAGTGGGCTGAAGAATGCTCGAATAAGGAGGCAGGAAGTTCCTTGTCTTAAAAATTCCCATTTTAAAACTTCATAAGAATGTATACCAAAATACATTCGTGTTCTAGTATAAAAATGCTGTTTCCCCAAATCATTGAGTGGAATCTACAGTGCAGGAAAATGCAGCACTGCATCCTGTAGGTTTAGCAGCTCGAGGGGAGCGCCCCAATCCTGGGCTTGATAAACAGACCATTAGTCTATAGTTCTGACTATATAGAGTTCTAAGTGTTGTTTTAGAAATTATGTAAGGGGCTTTTTTATAAGTTAAGTGTGGAGTTTCTTCCTAGTCTTCACTTGCAAACTTTTTATTGTATTAAAATATATATAACATAAAATTTGCTATTTTAACCATTTTTAGTTGTACAGTTCTGGGGCATTAAGTACATTCACATTGTTCTGCAACGATCGCTACCATCTGTCTCCAGAACCTTGTCTTTTGTTTTGTTAAATTTATTTTGTTCTCATTTTTTAAATTGAATTTATTGGGATGACATTGGTTCACAAAACCATACAGGTTTCAGATGTACAGCTCAGTAAAACACCATCTGCACACTGCATTGTGCACTCATCACCCTATGAGTTAGGTGTGTTTACAAGACATTAAACATTTCTAGATATTGAAAGCAGCTCTATATCTCTTAAAATATTCACTAAATATATAATTAATAGCTGAATATAAAATAAAGCAATTTCCATTGGTGATGATAGTCTCACAGTAGCAAAAAATCTAACTCCTTATTTAATACCAACTATGTCTTTAAAACATTATCCTGTTGAACAATGCAATTTGCTGAAATTACAGTGGAAAAAGATAATTATATCAACTACATTCGAAAGCTTAAAAGAAATTATTATTAAAGATACGGGCTGTCCAGTGGTTCTCTAACAGGGCTACCCCCGTATTGTTTCTGCCTTTATTTGATCTCTTTTTTGGGGGGGTGAGGTGAGGGGGTGCATTTTGTTTTTAAACTAAGCTTTAAAACATAAAATATTGATGCTTTCGGAAGAGGCACTTAATATAAAATTTCCCTTAAGACCTGGTTTAGTCATAAAATTTCTGCTGTGTGGCATTAGTAATGAAGACATCTCCAGCTCTGAGTGGCACTAAGTATTTTGTGTGAGGAATAAACACAATCAACATTCTGAGTGCTGTGACAAGCTCCTTACTTGAAGGCCCACATAGCACCATGCCCTTCCCTGATGATGTCTTCCACTTACTGGCCCTATGTGACCAATGCCACAAGAAAATGGGACAGGACTTGTCTTACTATGTATTTTCTAAAAGCGAATGTAACCATTGCGCTCCAAATGTCCCTTAAAAACCCCAACCAGCCAGCCAGGAGTGGCTCAGCTGTTGAGAAGCAACCTAGGATCCAGGAGATCACAGTTTGATTTCTGGTCAGGGCACATGCTCGGGTTTGTGGGGGGCATACAGGAGGCAGCTGATGAATGACTCATCATTGATGTTTCTCTCTCTCTCTCCCTCTTCTCTCTCTGAAATCAGTAAAAGATATATTTAAAAAATAACAAACCCAAACCAAACTCTTTACTTTTACTAATCATGAGGAGTCTTTACATATTTATATAATATATTGTACATTGTATGCATGGCCTGTTTACACTATTCAAAAAGAGAATATTGCCTTTAATAGGGTTGCCTCAATGTTTCCTTTTTACTTTTTGGTTGTTAATCCTCACCTGAGGATATTTTTTCCATTGATTTTTAGAGAGTGGAAGGGACAGAGGGAAGGAGGGAGGTTTGGAGAGAGAGAGACAGACAGACATTGATTGGTTGCCTCCTGTACCCCCTGGGAACAAACCTGCAACCCAGGTATGTGCCCTTGACAGAGAATCAAACCCACACCCCTTTGGTGTGCAGGCCAATGCTCTACCACTAAGCAACACTGGCCAGGGCTCTTATCTTTAGAAAGAAAGAGAGATCAATTTGCTGTTCACTCATCCGTTGATTTCTGTACATGTCCGAACCAGGGACCAAATCTGCCACCGTGGTGCATCAGGATGCGACGCTCCAACTAACTGAACTACCAGGCCAGGGCTCAACCTTTCTTTCCACTGGTCCTTGGATGTCCTTAAGTGATGGAATCATGTTCATCAGTGGTTCTCTACCGAATGCCTCTTTTTGAATAATACGTTTCACATTCAATGTAAAGAATGGAAAAATTCCCAGTGTTAATGCATTACCACCGACAAAGCTGCCAGTATCAAATTTGGATCCTTTGCTTTCTTTAGAATTTATAGTGCTGTGATTGTTACTAATGAAGAAACAGATGTCACCGAACTATTGTGGGTTGTGGTCCTCCTGGGTGTTGACATCTGGGATGTGTTTTGTGAAACACTTATCTTGGGTGTAGACTTTAAGGTGGTGGAAGTCATATTTGTGAGTGACTAGTGTCATCATTTTAGATGTTGCTATGGGTTTCAAGGTGGTGATTGCCACTGAGGAAGCTGGAGGTGTAGATGGTTTCATGGTGTTGTTGGGAGATTCAGTTGTAGGGCTGAAAGGCACAGGTAGGATATTCCCTGTTGGTTTAGAAGTGGGGTTTTCGGGAAGCATAGAAGTCTCTCTGCTTGAAGATCCCACCGGCTTCCCTGTCATGGACTGTCTAGCAACAGGAAGGTCCCTCATGGTGAACACGGCCCAGACACCTCAGGGGCCAAGTCCCACTGTTCTGGGGGCGACACAAGGGCCTTGTGGGTCCCTAACCAAGGTGGTGGTGGCACTAGTGGGAGCTACCCTTCCACTCAGCATCCCCTTGCCGCCTGCCCCCCAATGACCAAGTAGGGTGCCGGAGCCCAGCCGGGGAGGCTGGTTTTTATATCCCTTCTTGAGTAAAACATCATTCTTATCATGAACAATTAAAAAAATGAGGATGTTTGCAGACATACTACAAATTTGAGAAACATAGTAGAACGTATATTGGACTAGTTATTCACAATCACTTCATATTAATATTCTGTCTTTAGTTGATTTTCCTCTTTATATATTGCATGTGGTTGATGTGTCCCATTAATAGTTAAATCAACTATTAATCAGAAGTGCACTTTAAGAGTATAAATCAAATTTGCTTAAACCCAAACCAATCCAACTCTAATCTTCAAGTTACACTGTAGAGTATTTTAGATTACAAAAACTCTTTTTAATAAAGAAAGGTTACAAGTGAGGATGAGCACCTCAATGACAAGGACAGAGAGGGGGAGGGTTATTATTGTCGATCCTACTAGGCAGCTAGTAGGAAAAATGTTAGGCCGAGCAGAAGAGTTACTGCAAAATATACTGACTGGTCCATTGAATGTTAACTGAATACATATCTGGCAAGTTTAGATACCTATCCCTAGATCTGAATACATAGAAAGGCTGTGTTGGTTTCTATATATAATGTTAGGATGCAATACAAGCCAGAAATCTGTGTGGTTTCCAAATATTAAGGAAATAACTATTGAAGAAAATGAATCAGGAAGGGGGGGGGG